GCTTTCTGCTTTGCTTCCATCTCTCTGATCGAAGCGTCCCGTTCTTTTTGACCTTGTTCGCGAATTACCGCCAGCTGGTCTCTTGTGCGCTGTACCGTTTTGCCAGTAACCCGCGTAGGCCTAGCCATGCAGTTAGGCTCGACGGCAGAGTGTGGTCCATGGCAGTTTATGCATCTCGGGACAGCCTGTTTGCAATCGGTGGCCTTGTGCTCGACAGAGCCGCATCGTGAACAGAGTTCTGCTCTCGAGCAGATCTTTGTAGGGTGGTGTCCCCAACATCGGTTGCATTGAGCAATTTTTGGCTTGCGCTGGAGTTCGTGCAGCCGACCACTTTCTTCAAATAGTCGTTCACCAGGCTTTGTTTTTCCTGTCGCAAAATGTAGCACCCAGTCTGTTGATGGCCTTGCCATGCTAGTCACAAAAGCGCGAGCAGATGTTGGTCTGACGCCGGTCTTGAGGGTGGCTTCCTCGATCACCATTTCTGGCGTGACTGGCACTGGTCCCTCGAGGGTATATAGCCTATCTGGAATATTGGGTGCAAGCACTGATATCCAATTGGACGCGGCTTCCAACTTCATTTCAGAGCTGTCTAGGGTATTAGCTCCTGTCAGTAGCGCGCTTCTTGCTCCTTCCCCGTTAGCTTGTATGGCAAATCCAGAATTCACGACTGTGACTTGTCTGATCGATGAGTTAGCCAGGCGTAATTTACTAGCCAGGCTTATTTTTATGAAATGTGGAGACATGCGTCTCCACGGGTGATCCGGTTTGAGCCGTAAGAATACGCGCTCGTCAGCTTTTTCCTGCATCACTGCTGATGCCTTGGGTTTCGATGTGGGCGTGTGGCCAGTGGTTGTTTTTGTGGCAGCTGTGGTTGCTGGCTTAGCCTTTTTACGCACCACCTCTGTCCAGGATCTCTCGGGAGTCTGATTGGTGGTTTGTTCTGTCCCATGGGTAGGGATTGGTGTCGCAGAAGCAGCGGGTGGTGTGGCTGCTCCTAATCTCGTGTTTTCCCGGGCGAGGATCTGTACAGGACGCACGACGCTCGCAATAGTCTTCTTCCTCGACTCTTTAGCTGTCTCGAGGCGAGGTTTGATGATGTGGCCACTAGCAGCTTGAGCTGGTGCTGTGACTTTGGGGGTGGCTGAATTGCCCCGCAGAATTTCTGTGATCCGGTTTTGAAGAGCCAAACCGGTGAGTTCGATGGCTTGTCGGAACTCTTCGTCTGTTGTCGATTCGAGCAGGTTGCAGTACCTGCTGACGATGCGCTTTGCTTCCGCAAAACGTTCCTGGAAAGCCCTCGCTTGTTCGGCGAGAAAGTTGGTCATGTTGACGGCCGTGGAGTTTGGGCTCGGGTTTGGAGAGTGCTGTTGACTCGCGCAGCAGACTGAGTCTGGTGTGGTGTTGTGTGGTGTTGTGTGGTGTTGTGTGATGTAGGCGGTAGTGTGTATTGTGGATCGTTGAGATCCATTTCGACGTCCTGGCGCGTCGCGTGTTTGGTGGGGAGAGATGGCCAGGAGCCAGCCTCTGCGGAGGACTGGGGCGGCATAGGCGATTGAGAAATGTAAGTGACAGTAAGATGTCGTAAATGGAATGCAATATCGTCACTTTGGATTGCGAATAATTGTGTGGCGGACAGCTGGTCGGACTTTTTTTTTCCTTTGAGCTGAGTTATCTCCGCCTCCGTCAAAGACATGCATCCGATAACTCATGAAACGAGCAAGACGACGATAATGATGCTGGGAATGAGGAAAGATAATGCGGTACCAAACGCTACAACAGTAGTCAGAGAAGCCCTCGTTGTATCACAGCATATGCTATCTACCGGCAGGCAAACAAAAAGCCCACGAAAGCAAAGTATAAGACTCTTCCGCTCTCAAGAAAAGCAGATTTCGACTCATCAAAATAATCGTCCTACTAACCTTAACTTCCGAACCTACTAGTCAGGAGGACATCTGAAATACATGAGTTACCCGACGATCCCACGTCCGTAAGGACTATTAGATGCTGGGCTAGGCTCCTTCACGACTGTCACTCTCGACCAAGACTTTTCTGACATCCTTTGACCACCTTCGGCTTATCCTGCGGCATGAATCAGGGGGAGAATATGGAGAAGGATAGAAAGGTTCAGAGACAATCTGAGGTGTACACAGGTCTACTGCGCCCGGCTGGTCGGCCTCTTCGTAGTAGGAGAACTTCGCACCCAGTGGTTTTTGAGATTTTTCCCTGCAGATACACACCTGCAAACGGTTATCGTTTTGTTGGCTGGAGAGGGGAAAAATGCCGGGAGAATGGCCCCTCCTAGTGTGTACTCGAATAAATACCTGTGGGGGTATTACTGGTGGGGAAGAAATTTTGAAGGAGGCATATGAGGGAGTAAACTACCCGATGCATGGATACTCCCGGCCTGTAGGTAGAAAGGACCTACATGTCCTTACACAGTCATAGGCTTTATAAGGCAATAAACACATATATACATACATATGACTGGCCCCGGCTCCACCAGTCTTGTACCTATAGTGGACCTAGAGCTTTAGCTTAGGACTTTAATATAATAAAAAAAAAATATGACTGGCCTGCAGCCACAAAGGGGTCCCAAGCCTTGATAAAGTTAAACTGTTGAAATGTATAACCCACTACTTAGTTCATGGAATTTTTGCTAGATGGAAGCTTATGCAATATTGAAGGATTAAAGGATGTCAATTCGACTACTCTTCTATACACAGGTACCAGATTCTTTTAAATCTCAACAGATAGACCGTGCGGGATCTCCTATTAACAGCTGTAAACAACGCTAACACAGGGTGTTAAGTGGCTCGGGTTGTGGTAAACAGGTATGGAGTTGGATTAAGATACCTACGGCAGTCTGGCGTTATAGAAGCACTGATGATATCCTTATTCATACTCGCTTAATTCCAATCTCATTATATATGTAACTCATAGGCAGAGCTTTGACCTGTAGCTTTATTATCTTTCAAATATTGAGTTCTTGCTTGCCATAACTAGCGTGTCATAACACAGGGTGTACGCTATCTCCGTTCGCGAAACAACAGTCAGTCGGGGCCGGCAAAGACGAATTCTCCACCTTCCAGTAGTGCCGGTGTAATCGCTCAGTATGCTCTGCATATCTGGGATAGCCAAGAAGAATCGCATCCCAATCGAAGTCGAAAGCAAACACATGCATATCTCCATTTGACGACTTCTCAACCATGCAGCACTCACCATTATCTTCTGATTCCTCAACCACGATCTAAACACATATCATCTCGCCTCGCCGACCTATAAAGGCGTCACCCCAATTGTAAACAGGAGCTTGCCTCATTCATTACCGGCCATCACTCTCTACATATTTACGACGCTATTTATACCCGCAAGGAGGAAATCAAGTCGAAGAATATAAAGTTGGGGTCTTGGTTTATGAGGGACTGCTGCTCTAATGGGGCTATACATCTTGAGGAAGAACAAGCGGCTGAGATGTGGAGCGAGAGGGGAAAGAAGTCTCTGAAGACCATGCTGGGACTGACATTTTCGAGGAGTTTTCAACTTTGGGTCTTTTGCGGGCGCCAAGACCAAGATTTCGGCTAATTAGCCAGGAGGGCTTCTTTTGTCGACGAGTCAACGGCACTCCCCAGCGCCCTGGACGGTATAAAAGAAGCTAGGCTAAGCTACTAAACAGCAATCACGCTCTGTCAAGACTTTTCTGACATTTCACCACGACCTTCGGGAAGGAGTTGGAAGGGGGCTAGAAAGGCAGAGGGTGAATTTCCCGAGGTACCCACAAGTCTGCAGCGCCCAGCTGGCCGGCCTCTTCGAACGCTTCAGAAGGGGCAACATGTCTTCGGATTTATTCCTAATGTCGGTATTAGAAGATCCCCGCACCCAGTGATTTTTGCGAATTTTCCCGGCTGCCATACACCCGCAAATGGCCATCGTTTCGTTGGCTGGAGAGGGGAGATAATGAAGGGCAAAGGGCTCCTCTAAGTGTATGATCGAATGAGGACTTGTGAGGGGTGGTACTGTTTGAGGGGAGCTATATGGGAGGCATAGGAGGGGATATACTACTGGGATAGGTATCCTTGTCCTGTAGGCAGAGAGGACCTGCATGTCCTACATAGTCATAGACTCAGACAGGACAATAAAATGAATTAAACAGTCAGTCGGTACTACTAATTATCGAGCCTAGTAGCATCGATAAAGTGTATCCTAACACAGAAATAATAAAAAGCTCAACAACCAAACCCTTCATCAATTACTTCCATTAAGCATCACCTGACTTATCTCTTTACTCATATTTTCAACATAAACTCAATATGTCCGTAATGTGCGTATATAGCTTGTTCAATACGAGGTTTATTTGTGGAAGATTGCTAAGTCTGTGGCTTTTGGGTTCCCTACGAAAGACTTGTGCGACAAACATTGAGCCCTGTGACTATTTAACAACTGAGGCTAGATCCATAAAAACGCTACAGATAGAACCACTCATTACTCCACTGTCAACTTTTTTCGATAGGGCTTTACACTCTATTCTGAAACAGGTGTATCAGCTAAAAGAATCATTCCAATAACCTTGACTACATTAGAATTTTCACTATCCATTCCTTACATGGACGATTCGATGGCTTTGGTTTTTTGTTGTACCCGATTAAATTATGTCTTGTCCGTAAGATGATGTAATTGTAGAATAGAAAAATTTACTCAGATTAACCGTCTTTGCATACCACTGCGCCAGACGACCATCATGGTAATTCCGGTCTATACAATGGTCTTGCTGACCTGATCTGTTCAGACATATATTTAATGTGTTGTGCAAAGTAAATTATTACTTGAGTTGTAGTACTGGTTATTAAGAAATGTTTTACAAAATGTTGTATTAAATAATTGGGGTGAAGGTGATGAGTTGGCTAATAAAATTCATGGCTCATTAGATTTGTTGGTTGCAACACATTACTTTGAGGCCTACCGTTAACTTAATCTTTTTTTCCAGTCTTACTAGCTAGGGAATGCTAGGAGATGAATAATTTCTTTAAATCCTCCTTACTGTAAATGTTGTTGTCAATCACGTCCTTTACTTTGTCCTCTTGTAGACCAGCCTTCATGCTGAATTCTTCCAGCCAGGGCTTACGATATACGCGTCCATTTGGTAGCATGACCAAGTCACTCGCAACATGACTTTTCGTATGATGCGCGTATGGGACATCTTTAGCAAGAGAATTCAATTCTGTACTGCAAATTGGACATATCGGCGTTGTAAAAGAAGAGGCATGTATATGACAAGAATGGATGGTGGGGCGCTTGTTTTGAGAGTGACAGGATGGTGTTTTAAGGGCAGAAAGACCAGCTGAAAGTGCAATTTGAAGAAGAGGCGAAGAAGGAAGGGAAAGAAGCGTGTTATGGGTTTGGGAAAATAGTTGGGCTAAGGTTTCCCAACGATCCTGGCTGTATAACTTCTGTAAAATTGTTAGATTTTCCCAAAATAAGAGCGAGAGTAAGAAATACAGCATAAGCTGGAGCTCTTGTTCCGGGTGGGAAAGCGAGTAGTGCACATGCTTGTTGTACCTCATTAGGGTAGGTTTCGTGAAAAGGAAGAAGGTATTTTTTTGCGTGAGTTATTGATTCAAGGAGCTTCATTTGCTCTTGTGTTCTTACAAGTTCAATATATTGCTGATAACGGAGCATAAATTCAAGGTTACTCTGGACCGGATTAGCAGATGAGCGTCTAACATATCATATGTGTACTCTACCTCCATTCTTCTCAACTCCTTTTTGTTCTCCGTGCACCATGCTAAAGCTTCTGTAACTCTTCCACCCAAGAGACTACTTCGTATTCGATTCATTTGCACGAAAGTTTCTACATCCACCAAATCCTTAATACCCTTTTCTTCTGCGAGAGCCGCCGCACTGTTTTGAAACCCTCTCCTTAGTAAGTAGTCTACGACAAGCCTATCCAGACGGGTCCTACTCCAATGTTCATATTTGACGTCATCTAGACTTTGCATATTGTATAGCTCTCCTAAGTGCCTGATTCGATTCAACGAATGTTGATGAAGCTTATTCTCCTCATCAGCACAGGCTTCTAATTTTCGCTTCAAACCTTGAATACGTGCAATCATAGAGTCAACATTCTTGAGAACAACTTCTGGTGATACTCCATTGGAAATAGATGCATGCGTAGTCTCTTTCAGCATGTTTTTTACGGCAGTGCTCTCTTTCTCAACGTGAAAATGGGCAACCTTGAAATTCTTCCTAATTTGTTCAAATGGCAGCCGGAGCATTGGTTGGTCCTTCGAATATTAGTTTTTACGCAATTATTTAATGCACACTCACAAGAATAAGTTGTGACTCAGGAATTAGTTTAGAGGTTGTATGGTCTGCCATGATAAAAGCTGGATGCAGTTACGTGGAAGCACTACCTGATTTAGAAACATAAGATGAGAGGTTTTGAGTCTCTTGAGGTAGGTCTAGTATTGGTACTGTTATCGCACTTGCTTGTGTAGAGAGCTAATAAGATCTAAAATAGTAGTAGGTGCCCAAAGCTATTATATTTATTTAAGACAGCGGAACATCAATTCTCAGTCCACCCACTCAAGCGGGGCGCCCCAGGCTGAATACGAAGCTGACATATATCTTTAGAGTAGATAGCCCATTTGTCAATCACGTGCTTAATCTGGCATTGTAATAACAATAGCTTATCTTTCCTGTGATTGCATGAAAAAAACTGGATTAACTAAGACGAATTCTTCACCTACAAGTGGTGCCGGTGTAATCGCTAAGTATGCTCTGCATATCTCGGATATCTAAGAAGAATCGCATCCAAATCGAAGTCGAAAGCACTCCCAAGCACATCTAAAATCGACGACTTCTCGTCATTGTCGGACCTATCATTCTCACGCGAGTCCTTCGCCTCACTCTTACCACACCACCTCGCCTCAAATACCGATAATGGCGTTACTCCAATTGCAATCGGGCATTTGCCTCATCAGAAATCGGCCATCTCTCATTAAAAACTTACGATGCTATGTATTCCCGCGAGGAGAAAATTAAGTAATATTCTACAAAAGCACGGGTCTTGGTCTTGGTCTTTGGACTACCGTTGATCTAATGAGGCTTCACATCCTGACGGAGGACAGGCAGCTGGGACGTGGGGCGAACGAGTGAAGAGGTCACAGATGGGCATTCTGGAACACACATTTTTCGAGTATTTTCGACTTAAGGGTGCCTGTGGGCACAGAGGCAACGATTTCGGATAGTGCAACCGACATTCTAAAAACAGACAACGATGGAAGGTGTTTTGGTCCGCCTACTGGTCGTCATCTCCCCGAGTCGAATTCTTGGTAACCTGGACGCCTACCTCACTCGAGAAAGTGAGGACCATGAGGCCATATCTCGCGCGGTGGCTATATACAAGATGACAAAGGTATGTTAGGGTAGCCAAAGGTTTTTCATGTTTTCCCTTTGTTGGGTATTAACGGTTGAGGGGATGAAAGTTCCCAGCAAAAGATCTCGAGTGGTACCAGCGAATGTACCCACTACATGAGTGGCCCAAATTTTAAACTAAGTTTTCGTCGTACAGAGTCGTTGGGAAAAGACTAGTCTTCTCCGTGTTATGCTTTATGAGTGCTAGGCTTGTGCCCGTCGCGAATAAATATACATTCTATACATTCTTTGACACTAGAAACTTGGCACGAATTCCATCTTAGTCATGTAAGTATTTACGATCCCCCTCGCTATACTTCCTGACTTTTAAAAAAATTCAATACCTCGGCCTCTCAAAACTTCTAAGACTCACTGAGTCCTAGATATGCCGCGTGATTCTTACCATTTTATCAAGATAATTTATTATGGCCCCCAAGCATCGTTCAACTATATGCCTAAAATTTACTCTCTGAAATATCATCATATGCTTAACCTTTTGCGATAGATATCCAGACCACTGACTAGGTTTTACTCCACGGGGTTTGTTTGCTTTCCACTAGGAGCGTAAGACAACGTGCTTGCTCTTGATCTTTACATCGATACTACTCAGGGCCATACTCAGATTTTGATTTAATTATCTTCTTAATCCTCGATTCATTTTTATCCTGACTGTGCTTTTCTGTTGAAATATATGGGGCGTTCTTCAATTGGAATCCTGTTGGCGCTTTGTATCTTGATTTTGGGATTTGGGATTCCTTAGACCAGCGGTTAGCTCAGACTCGGCAAAATTATGCCTTTCAGCGCAGAACTTAGATTCAGATTAGTCCTAATCTATATTTATATCAGACAAGATAGAGAACAGAAGTCCTCCTTACTGCAGGCCACGAATATAAGTGCCTGGGATATCATTTCTCCTCCTACAATACACCCGCTCATTAGTATACATAAAATCTTATATGTGGAGGCGTCCTTTGCCTTGAATCTAGGCATGATCACCAAATTAGTCAATTTTTTTGAATGAAAGTATAATATTATTTGGCCCTGCTTGTGATTGTAATGTTGACCTAAATCCCGAAACCCAATCTTTGATATCGGTAGTACGCCAAAAAGTTTGTGATTCATCTTTGATATTGTATCCTCCGTTCCTAATTCCATTTATTCTTCCATTCATCTCTTAAACAATTTTTACTTGAGTCCTCTGTTATATTCACCTTTTATGATTCATAATCTACTGTAGGTGCTCATGGTGTCTATTGTTGAGATTTAGGGCTCGCCATTATTTAATCAAGATATGATCTATGTTGGTCATGAAAAGTGTAACGTAATTGACCATAAAAGTAGATTGAATATGGCTCTACTTGAATAAAGGCTCGAGGTGAGCGAACAAATGACATTCAAACGGTTATTGTACTCTTGAGTACCAAGGAAGACTGCAGGTGTATTGCGTTCTTCGCCTAAACCTCGGTCCCGACGTCACCTATTCTTCTATCTTCCTCGGGCATTTTTCGAGCAGGTATTTGGTTTGTGCATGACTGGAGGAATTCTCGTCCCGTGAGATTTAGTCTGGTACATATTAAGCTCGCGTGACCATGAGATCCTCTAATCATAAGACAGGCATCGCTGGATAGTCTGTGGAGCTGTCTAACGACACTCACCTTTGTACTAAGCACCGACATTCCGAGTCCGTCCCGAATAGGATTAGCTTTTACGACAATTTAGCTTCCTTCTACCCACCCCCCTTCTCCTCGTCCCAAGGTCAGCTGTTAAAATACTCAGTGCTCGCACGTGCAACCGACCTCCACCATCTAGACAAGTTGACAACTCGTTTTCATCCACCGCATCAGGTCACAAGAGTATACCTCGCCTACTCTTTTCTTAAACGATCAGATCAAGCAGTTACTTTCAGTACCTGCCACCACAATTTCCCATCGAACGGGCAGTCAAACCCTTATCGTTTTCCTCGTGATTTGTCGGGTCACGTTTGTGTGGTGGTCTTCCTCGTGATCATCTTCCGATCACGACCCTTCATCGGTTCAACTTGGGGCTCACTCGATCCTGTCAACCGATAAGTGAGTCTTCAGTCTTCAGCGAACTCTCTTATGTACTGCTGAGCGTACTTCTATCTCCTCATTCTAAAATTCGGTGCGGCGCAAATACTCAGAGTTTGGTTATCGGCCAAGGGCGTGCTTCTTGACATCCGTCGTGCCACTCGGATCACAGGTCACGAAACAGCAAGAACAAGGTATGTGCGGACCCGCTTGAGCACCTATATGATTGCCGGTCTAAATGAACTCGGCACAACATACGCGCTTATCATGAATATCGCGACTTTGCGCGTACTAATATCAAACTTTTTCTTTTTCAAAATCAATTTCTTGAAGTTATCTTTCGCATAAAATACATCATAGTCAACTTCCACCCACATCATATAAACTTGGCTACATCATCCTGTCGCTATGTGGCTGCGTTTAGCATTATTTCCAAAACCAATCTGCTATCACTCACTCCACATCAGCCTCCTAACTTGTCAATTATTTCCTCTTTCCAATCAGTAACTTTCGAAAGTTTTCATAATATCATCTTGCATTATAATTGTTAGTCTGTAGCAACTTTGCTGCGTCGTCAGTGATGAAAGGCCTCTACAAATAACTTAATTTCTACCTTAGGACAGCTTACAGTCTAGCTTTACAATGTCATCGTCTCCAGTCACCAAACATAGTAATCGCTGACCCATAAAATTTAAATATAGGAAATATAGTCACCTCATATACAGCACGGTTAGGAAACTAGGAGGTAATATTTCAGCTGCAAATAGGACACACCCCGAATAAGCTTGATATACATTGGATAAAGTTTGTAAATCAAGTAAGAATTTATTCGTTCCAAACAGCTCAAAGGCACAGGTCGGATCATATCATAGATTGCGGCAGAATCCGATTAGTGTGTCATGTCTATAAAAATGTCAGATATGGATCTTGAACACCATGGTCTCCAAGAAGTAGCGAATGCTATGCGTGGTGATGATGGACATCTTGGAAGTGCACAAAAGCGAAAACGTGAATTAGACTCGATGGATGATGTGAGGCGTGGGAATAAGCGGGTATCGCCCAACTTACTAGTTAATAAGGATCATTCTGATAGTGTTCACTCTCTACAAAGCTACAGCAATGTATTACAGCAAGCACACCTTGACAGTCACAACGGTTCATCTGAACACGTCTCGACAGCAGCAGCAGCTCTTGCAGGGATTTACCCCCAGATGACGGTTCCTCAACCTACTGAAGTATCCTTTGCCGCACAAGGTTCCGAAAATGACCGAAATCATGAATCATCTTTCATGGATGGAAACCAGCAAGGGCAAGATGGGTTCATGGATAGTCAAAATCAGCCTGGCGATCGAGGTAGCATATCTAAGCCAGCAGTAGGGTCAGAAGAATGGCATAAGGTACGAAAAGACAATCATAAAGAAGGTAAGTCACTCTCATCGCGCAAAAAATACTTTCACACTAAACTAAAACTAGTGGAACGCCGTCGTCGAGAGACTATAAACGAAGGAATCAATGAATTAGCCAAGATTGTTCCTGGCTGCGAAAAAAATAAGGGATCTATTCTCCAACGCGCCGTACAGTTTATCACTGAGCTGAAGGAAAATGAAACACAGAATATTGAAAAATGGACACTTGAAAAACTCCTAACTGAACAGGCAATTGCAGAATTAAGTGCAAGCAACGACAAATTAAAGACCGAATGTGATAGGGCGTGGCGGGAGGTCGAGACGTGGAAGAAAACATGTCAAAGTGCTGGGTTAGCACCGAAGAAGGAGGATTGTGACATGTAGAAAACTGATATTCTTTTTTTAATTGGTTTACTTCTTCACGTTGCGGAATGTTGAGGGAGAAAACTTCGATATGATGATACCCCACATACGACTCACGAATTATTTAATTTCCAGTATGGCTGAAATCATGGGAAGACGGCTTAAGACGACCAGAACTTTTGTAAAACCTTGGTTAAACTTTCTAATTAGATTTAAATGGTAGCAGAGCACTTAACGAACAACCTTTACTTACGATTAACACTGCCAGCATGTATCTATTCCCTTACTGAACCTTACACAAAGCCTTCCGACAAACTTGGTTCTGAAATCCATTTCATGTCCCTTAGGCTAAAACTTATGCAGCTCGTAATTACTAATTTAAATAGCCGATGTTGGTCCGCAGTCAGGTTTGTTGGAGCTTGTATGCACCGATGGACACATGGACGAACTCTGTGGTTATCGTACGCTGACAAATACGATGTAAACTTCTGCGTTCCGATATAAACTAGATTTTTGACATCAAGGAAACACATCAAATGACGGGCATCAGTACCGCTCTAACCCATTCAAGCTAATGTTAAGCATTGGGGTATTCATTGTGTTGTATCAGACTATACACAAATCCAGACGACACTCGTGTTTCATTCTTCGAACCTACGCTGAGATTAGCTAACGCACACCCTCAGCGCAGAAAAAGGTAGCGGCGATAGGCATCTAGCCGCTGGTGATTGGCAGTACTTCAGTCTCGAGTTGGATCCAAGAAGTAAACAGGCATGCATTGACAGGCGTATGCACTGTTGCGTATCATTTTGTCACGCGCGTAGCATCCCCGATAACCCCCGTCTATGACTATTTTTAGCCATACAAAATGAATTCAACCCTTGTGACCATCTTAGTGCAGACGAGTAGAATTATTATTGAGCGCGAACTTGCCGCCAACAGAGGCCATGAGCCCGATTTTCGCGGAATTCTGGGAATGGACTCCACGAATCAGGAGCTTTGTCGTTGCAGCGCGGTCTGTGTGTGTAGATGTGGACAACTGAAGCTCAGGCAAGGTGTGTAAGTCGTTCAAACAGCAGCCCATATTTGACGTTGTAAAGTGCGGTGATCTTCTCCCGCGTTGCCAAAACTAGGTCTTGCTGATTCAACAGCCCTGCAGGCCGCCAAGAGATTTGATCTACTTCGAACTGGGGCCTAATGGGCCGCACCTGAAAGCTGCGATACTAGCCCCAAAATGCGGGGTCCGCGTCGCTGGAGCCGTCGGAAGTCTCTCCCATCTTGCGCTAGTTTAAGCTGCCCTTTACAAAGTAAATAAAAAACAGCGTCCAGTTCATTTCCAGAGCTCTAGCCTTTTAATTTTTTTTTAACTTTTCAATTCACGGTGTACTTAACTACGTAGCGATTTCACATTTTTAATTGTATAAATTCAGTCACAAAAGAACCTTGCATGAGTAAAATCCTGCTAATAGATGTTTAAATTTCCTTTGTGTGCTACCATAAACTTGGATATAACCAATTATTTTAGTAAAACCTCCTTTTCCCTTTTTGTTCGAAGTTGGATTGGAAATTGTCGGAGCTCTCGCTGCGGAAGGCCAGTGGTTGGGGTTTTTTTTTTTTTTTTTTTTTTTGCATCAGATTTTAATTGCGTATGCAGCTATCTAGCTATGACACAATATCAAAGAAAAGTACAGAAAATATGACTCAATTTACAAGAGGAGCACTCATGCCTCGGATTTCATTTGCAAGTACCACTGCGAAGTTATGGTGGCTTTTTCTTCACCCCAAGTCAACCCTCATCCGTGAATACCCACCCAGGGGAACGTCTCAAAAACCCTGAGTTATCCAGACATGCCTCCGTCATCCATCAACTTTTCTCCGCGCGAAATATGATCTGAGATGTCTCCTTCCCAAGTGGAGTAGGTGCCCAGGCTACTCAAACCATACCAGAGAACACCACCAGGAGGCGGACCACAACACCTTCCATCGTTTGCTTGTTTTTATAGTGTCAGCTGCACTCTCGCAAGCGAAGTCTTGGCGCGCACAAAGCTCAATTCGTAAAACTCTTGCCAAAATTCAAAATTCCACGCCCGTCGAAAACGTATCCCTCTTCTGCATCATCTTGTGAACTTGTCCTGATCCCTCTCACGTCCATCCCAAAGAGCTATCTCCCAGATTTGTGCTCCACGCTTTGCTTCCTCCGTCGGGTATAAATATCGGCGTGGGCGTGTATTTGGTGACCGGCTGAGGCCAGAGAAAGTCGACGAGAGGTGTGGTCATTGAGATAAGGATGTACTAGGTCGTACTTGTAGACTTGATGAAGCTTAGTTGAGAATCGGACTCTTTGGGAGTGAAAAATTGACATGGTGGAGTAATTTGAATTTTTGCCTCGTGGGCCAACTTCTTTGATATTGCGAAATTTGACTGAACTTGGCTCTGGGAGAATATTTCACTCCCAGGTTCGTAGAGGACACCGCGTACAGATGTTCAGTCTTGCCCTCCTGAGGTTGGGGTTATGGCATAGGCACACAGGTGGATAATAATTATTCATTATCCTGATTTGGCGCCTTGAGGCCCATACAGGTTTTATCGGAAGATATGTACTTGTTGGTAAAATACGAATTAATACAAATTGGGTGCCGTCGCGAAGTCGGTGAATAATGTCAATTAACTGGTATCTCGATATACATAAAACGTTGTCTCTCCTTTCCTTCTCACCCTCTGCCCTTTCTTCCTCAACTCCAAGCGCCTCGCTTATGAGCTAAGTCAGATCCCTGTCAGTGTCCTAACAGCAACCTGAATACCGCAAATACATAGAACAATTCACACTACCCAAATATGATCCTTTTACCGACAGTACTTTCAGTGGGATGACGCAATTTGGCGTTTAGAACACTCACACTCAGATTTCATTTGCAGATACCGCTCGAGGTTAAGCCTTACGGCGTATAACCTACTACGTGCATACCTACTACGGTAAAAAGCATGAAAGACCTGTGGCTATCCGAGTGTGCTTTCATCATCCCACAAGTACAATCTCACCGCGAGAAAGTTTGGTGTGTGGGCCTTACTGGATTCTAACCAGCTTTCTCCTGTTGCAAATGGGGTAGGTGTTAAGCGACGCAGATTCTACTTGGGAGAATGGCCCGAAAGGTGTTCCACTACACCAGCCAACCCGCAGACGGGTGGATACAAATATTTTTGACGCCTTGGCGGTGTTCGTATGTATCAACATCTCAACCAGCCAACACTTCTACGGTAGCAAACCCATTCTCATTACCAGTGATATAACAGAGATCGACCATGTCATAACAGTAGAAATGTTTTTGGCTCTACACACTGAAAATAGTTGCTCCAACAGTTTTTCAGTTTTGGTCAATTCAGAAATAGATGATGGGCTCTGGCATGACTAGCAGCAATTCCGAGGAAACTTCTTGCATCTTTCAAATGCCCACGATGTGCTTGCCCTGACAGCTCCAGACTCATTACACGAGATCACATGAGATGGGCTTCCTGTAGGGCAAAATGGTCGTCGCACTATAAACAAGAGTGACCCTGATACGTGAAGTGAGTGAGATCTACTGTTTTCTTATAAAACTAGGCTTAGGAAATTACCCTCAGCGTCTATCGGAGCATGCTTAACAGATCAATTATATATTTTTCTACTCACCTAGGGGGACTATTCTCAACACCTGTCAGTGGTGTCCCCTACGAACCTCCAGCTCTCATTGTAGAGTCTACAGAGCCGAGATTGAGTAACAAAGTCATCACTTCGACGAGGATTCCCAATCGCTTGCGCGGTCTGTATCGTCTTCATCTCTCAACACATTCCCCTATCACCATTATCATGAAGCTAACCACGATCAGATCAGATGGTAGGGTCGGAGCCCTTCTCATGACCAACCCTTGATCATGGAGGAAAAGCCATCCGATGAGCTTCCGGAGTGTATCCAGCACCCGATACGGAGATGTTGGATTATATCTAGTCGGCCTCGACTGTTACAAAGAAGGGAGATATAGATGAATATGCGCACCTCATGTGGTCCCGTTGAGAAGGCCTCGCCAGGCTGGGGCTGCGGCGGTTTTGAGACTTTTCCCGCGCACGCAGTTTCCATTGCTACCTTTTTTTATTTTTATTTTATTTTTATTTTTATTTTTGTGTTGAAGGTTCCGTGGAAAAGTGGACGAATTCCACGGGTAAACACTGAGCTGAATGGTAACATGATGGGATATCACCAAAACAATAAGAATAAAGTAAGCTGGCCGTATGTGACGAAATCAAGCTGGTTGTAGTGTACTTTTAGAAAGATTAAACTATATAAAGAGAGAAGTACCACAACTACGGGCAATGACTATTTGTACATCCTTCTAGCTCATCCAGTACGTACTCTGTTGGTGAGAATGACATATTGCTCCGCCACTGCCCGTCGTCATCTTTGCCATCTAGCTGACTCTCTCACTTGGCAATTCTACTTCGCCGTCTCACATTCCTTCCTGGCTCCAATGTAATGTGGCCAAGTGAAACTTAGTCGCTTGATACAAGATAATATGTAACACTCTCCCTAATACGCCCCCAAACTCCGCTTAGGTCTCCACCTAAGCCAAACCACATTCAAACCGTAACACCGTAATACAGTCTACTTTCTGATTATCTAGGAAATGGTATCTACCTAGGCTGTAGGACATATATACATGTAGCTCTGACCCCAGGGAGGTTAATATCTATCGGATCGGTAATCATCCGCATTCTTGAGGTGATCTATCGACGATTCGTATTTGTCGGATCGGCGATCACTTATAATCCCATAACAGAACATCGGCGATTAGTACATGGATGTAAGGCGCAGCCTGTAACAGGCTATTCATCAATGGGAGAATATCAATGATCTTTCAAGTAACAAAAGAGGATAGGAGCACAGTACAAGGTGTGGCCTGGGTCAGAGAGGAGCCCAATGTGCTAGACAGTCATGGACTCAAGTGGTAAAATAAACACAAACATAGACCCACAATTTTATTTTGAAATT